CACCATTGCGACGGAACGACTCTACATTATGATATGATTTCATATATCCAAGTTGAATGGATGTGTACATGGTTACATATTCCGATGACTATGACGCTCTGGATATTCATGGATGGAACTATTACCTTATAGATGATATCTTTTCATTATTTATGCATTGTCCATGGTATCTGGAATGGCTATGATTTGCATTGATTACTCACCGATGTTTCTTTGCCGGAAATATGCAGACCGATTACAAGCAGGCGCCTCTGGTGGACTTTTGCGGCCAACCCATTTATGGATGACAGCTGCGCGATGCGCAAATGCGGCAGCTGGAATGTTCACTGGTGGTCAAATGACGTGACGATTGTGTATTATATACACCTGCATATGGATGTGTGCTTCGATTGGAGGATGAATGTTTCACTTTTCGTACAATCGAACCCGGCATGTTTCACAGCGAATGAACGGTGTAGTGATAGCAAGTAAAAGAATGCACGACACGATTTCGTAGTTGAAGCCGTGGCCAGTGGAACGTTTTGTGGTGTTTGGACCGCATGATGAACAATGCGACCCAAATGGGGGATGTTAAAACCCTCTAGGCCCCGTGCCGAAATTGGGTAGCTGTTCTGAGGTCCTTGTTGGTGTTGCTTCCCAAGTTCCATTGATCGCCATTTGGCTCAAGACACAATTGAGGTTCAAGATCTGATGTGTGACTGCATACATACGTGATCGGCATTGAGAGCGAAAACACTTCGCTTGCGCTGCATTTGTCAGGACCACTGTTGTAACTATCATTCCTTCTCCCTTACAACGTTTACACGGGTTCGGCTATAACGGCATCGTCCGTATACACCTTTCTACGTGGTTGGTATTACAGCTTGAGGGTTCGGTGCATAGCGTCCCACGGGACGTCACCTTGCCGTCTCTTGACAGAGACCGACTCTCCCTCAAAGGCTGAGGCCCTGATCTGCATGCTGTACAGGTCCAGCGTGCCCGCCGACTGCTGCACCAGCCCGGGGATCGAGCCTCCGAAAGCTCCAAAGTGCAGCTTCGCGATTCCGCCCGGCGGCGCCGAGAAGTGCTCCAGACACCCTGCGAGGGCGTGCCGAGGAAGGTGCCGGTGACGCCCACGTAGTCGTTGTCGGCCGCGCTGACGTACATCACCAAGTTGGAGGCCGTGCCCAGCCTGTACCGGCAGCCGAAGGAGTAGCGTCTCCCCGGCGTCAGCGTGTAGGTGCGCACAATGTTCCAGGCGAAGGCGCTCAGGGTCATGGCGTAGCCCTCCAGCTGGAAGCCTCCCGCCGTGAAGCTGGCCGAGGCCACGGAGCTCTGGCTGTTGAAGTTGCCTAGCGTGGTGAGCGTGGGCTCCAGCAGCACCTCCAGCGTGACGTCGTCGGCCCCTCCGTCGAGGAACTCGTGCTTCAGCAGCAGGGCTGAAGCCGCCGTGTCCTCCTCCACCTCCGCTGTCCACCGTTCCTGCCGTCTGGTTGGGCAGGCCCGGCGCCTGGAAGTGCGGTGCAGCTTTGCAACTCCGTTCGGAGGCACTGTGAAGTACATCTTGGCCGTGCTCCAGGCGCCCTGGTCGCCCACGAAGCTGCCGTACAGGGGGTCGTAGACGTTGTCTGCCTCGGACATGTGCGCCGCGAAGTTGGAGGCCGTGCCGAGCCGGTACCGGCAGGCGAAGAGGAGCTCTCGGCCCGGGGTCAAGTTGTAGGTGCGCACGATGTTCCACGGGTTCACCGTCAGGGTCAGGGTGTAGCCGTCCACGCTCACTCCCGCGGTGTGCGTGGCCAGGACCACGCTGCAGCCGCTGCTGGGGCGAACCGTCCAGTTTGACAGCGAGACGTCCGTGGGGCCCAGGATCTGCTCTCCTATGGCGGCCACCGCCTCGTCGGCCCCTCCGTCGTCCGGAAAGCGCACGGCTATTTGCAGCGCCGAGGCCGCCTCCGTGACTCCGAGCTTGCCGGCAAGGAGGCCGTCCACCTGCGTGATGGTGTAGTAGCTGAGCAGCGCGGCTGCGATGCTCGAGGCCGTTGCCGTGTCCTGGTCTGCGGCCGAACGGTACGCCACCAGCGCCGAGGTGATTTGGTTGGTCGTGAACACGTCCTGGTCCGGGCCCGTCCGGTAGGCCAGCAGCGCGCCTGCGATGGCGGCCTGCGTCTGCGTGTCCTGCGCGCTTGCCGTGCGGTAGTCTCCCAACAGCGCGTCCACTTGCGCCGAGGTGTAGTAGGCCAGCAGCGCGGCTGTGATGGCGCTGGTCGTCTCCGCGTCCTGCGCCGTTCCGGTGCGGTAGTCTCCCAACAGCGCGTCTACCTGCGCCGAGGTGTAGTAGGCCAGCAGCGCAGCCGCGAGGGCCGCGTCCGCCGCTGCGACGGAGTAGCAGTCTGCCATGATGCTCAGCGTGTCGTCGCCGTTGGCCAGCGCAGCAGAGAGAGGAGCCCCCAGAATGCAGGTTGCGAACGACGTTGCTTCCGCGAAGGAGCTCCCAAGTCGTGAAGCCCGCCCAGGCCGGCGCGTTAACAACTCCGCTGCCGGAAAGCTGCAGGGCGGCGAGCTCCGCGAGGATTGCGTCGAGGGCGCTCTGGAGCGTGGTCTTGCTGGCCGAGAGCGCGGCGTTCGTGGCGTATGAGGCCAGCAGCGTCGCGTCGGCCTTGGCCCCCTGGAGCGCCGTGATGCTGGCGTCCCGGCTAGCAAGCTGCGCTGCGACGAAGGCCTTGGTGGCGAGACCCAGCAGGCATTTGCTATCTTGGTGTCTACCTCCAGCGGCGATTCCAACCCGTCCACCGTGGAGAGCAGGGAGGCCAGCTCGCCTGCGTCCGCCTTGCCGTGGAGGGCGGCGTCCAGGGCTGCCGTGGTGACAGCGTCCAAGAGGGCTGTCGCTATCTTAGAGTCCACCACCAAGGAAGTGTCCACGGCCGACTGCAGGGCGTAAGCAGTCAGGGCGCTGGCGTCTGCCTTGGAGGCCTGCAGCCCCGAGATGGAGGTCTCGGCTTGCGAGCTCGGAGGCCAGCGCCGCGGCGGTGACGGCCCCCAGGAGAGCGTTGGCCACCTTGGTGTCCACCTCCAGCGGCGTGATCCTCGCCGCTATGTCTAGGGAGTGCTGGTCCACTTCAGGTCCACGCCGTCCGGGGTGCTCTTCGTGGCCGCCACGCCCTCCAGCAGTGGTCAGCAAGCTCTGCAGCGCTGCGATGCTGCTTCCGTGCGCGGCCACCTGTCCGTCCGTGGTGGCCAGGGCCGCCGCCGTTGCTAGGGGTGCAATTGCCGGCGCCAGCGCGCTGCTGTCCAGCTTTGAGGCCAGCTCGGCGGTGACTCGGTCGTCCAGGGACTGGAGGGCAGCAGCGTTGTTGCCGGAGGCTGCCGTGTTCACCGCCAGGTCAGTTACTTGATCAGAGCGAGGGCCAGCTGTCCTGCTGTGACGTGCGTGCCGTCAGCTCCGGGATGTTGCCCGTGACAGGTCCTTCAAACATGTTTTCTTAGGAGTAGGTGTTACACGAATTCGTAACGCAGGGGTGTTGTACTTTCGCAACGCGCCCTTGCTTGAGTCGCTATGGGTCATTCGGGGCCTTCGTGGCGCAGGGTGGTATAATTATATATCATCTCGCAACAGCCCCTACCAGTACGCGAAGTGTGGAATGACGCTGTGTCCGATGGCACTGGGCATGAAGCGAGACCTCTGATGAATTGACCGATGGCGTCGGTCAAAACGCTTGGGACACCTCGGCCTCATGACGAGACCGGCGAAGGACACTTGTCTCAGCGGCTATGACCTGCGGGGCATTCATGAGCCAACCTTGTCCATTCATGAATGAACCTTGTTTATTCATGAACCAACCTTGCCCTTTCATGAGTCATTGATGAATCACCCGGTTCCATTATTGACTCAAACTTGCCAAGAACCGAGTCCTCTTTGCGCACTTTTCGGCCCCAAAGAGAGCGGTGACGAAGCGGTGACATCGCGGTGAGACCGTTTTTGGGCGAAAAAGCGCCGTTTTGGGACGGTAACGAAAGCCGTGGTGACTCTGGAGCGACGTTTCGGAGGTTCGATTCCACCCCGGTACCTCGGCGGGCTGACGTGTTAGAGACCGGTGACATCGGCGGTGACTACTTCAGCAGGCTGACGTGTTACATGGAAAACCTCGGCAGGCTGCCGGGCTCCGAGCCAGGTCCTCGGCGGGCTGCCGGGCCGCGAAAAACCCTGCGGAGAGAACTGGGCCCGGTTTTGCGCACTTTTGCACCCAAAAAGCGAGCGGTGACAAAGCGGTGACAAGCGGTGACGAGCTCAGCGGGCTGGAATTCGCAGGCTTTTCGGGCCAGAAAACGGATTTCGGAGCACGGCGAACGCATGGAACCGGTTTTCGGAGGAAAAAACGAGCGAAGTTGGAGGCCCGGGCACCACTTTCGACGCCGGACACGAAAAAACACACTTTTCGGAGTTTGCCGTTTTCAGCGCTTTTTGCACCAAAAACGAGCGGTGACAAAGACCGGTGACATCGGAAAAACGTTCAGCAGGTTGAAGAATTTGGCTGTTTTGCAGGGTTTTGGGACCCAAATCCGAAAATTATTAGGGTAGTGTAGGCAGTCTTTCCTTACTACTTTTGCTCGTTTGTTTCGCTATTGCAACGCTACTGTGAGTGAACATACCAGAGACGTGTCTGCGGGGGTCGCAATTCATCCCCTAAAACAGTGTTGGAGCAAAGGGCGACGGCGTCCGCCAAAGGCGGGTCCTGGTCGCCCATCCACTGTGAGTTTCACTGGCTTGGGCGGAGTGCGTGCAGTGTGCGTCCGTCAGTGGATAGCGCGAAGCCCAGTGACGCTGTTGCGCGTCAAGCGTCTGCCCAAGGCAGGACGTGGCAAAGCAGGCTATGGCGCGAAAAGGATTTTGTGCGGAGTGACTGTTCAGGCAAGGCTTTGTTTTAGGCTGCCGGTAGCGTTAAGCGCTAGGTGCAGGCGCGGTTAGCGACAAGCGGTCGGACAGCCATTTCAATCGCATCTCAGCCTGAGCCTCGCCCACTGCAATGAATGTGGAGGAGATGAAGTGTCGTCGCACGGATCTGAAGCGACAGCTTCGTGAGCAGTCCAAGTTGCTGAAGTTGGAAATGCGGCGTCTTGTCTGATTGCTTTGGTCAGTATTCATTGTTAGTAGTTGTGAAAAGCCTGTCAGCCAAGGAAGAGACGTCGTCTCATCAGGGCTGCGGGGCGCTTGAGTGCCGCCGATCTCGAGTGGCTGATGAAGCAGCAGCAGCCATCCACGGCCGCGGCGGGGCAAGACGAGGCTCCGGTGGATGCGCAGCCAGCTGCTGAGCCAGGACAGGCAGCTCCGCGACGGCAGGGCGAAGCCCGACTGCCGAGGCGGCAGGGCGAAGCCCAGCTGCAGGAGGGCAACATTCCACTGCGGACGGGAGCAGCCAGCCGCCGAAGAAGCTCAAGTTGCCTCTGATGTCGAAGACTATCAGAACGCAGCCGAAGAAGTGGACGACACCACGAACAAATGAGGCTGCGTGCGAAGCACATTGCCTTATTCTTGCGCAAAGCCCAGCCAAGCCAAGCTAAGCTGTAGCAAAACTGCGAGCTGCCGCCTCGTGTAAAACGTGGGCCGTGTGCTGCAGGATGCCACTGGGCAGGTGTAACGCTACAGAATGCTTTAAATAAGGAGGGGGGGGGGTCTCTTTTTTTTTCTATAGCATTCCGTAGCGTTACAGTTGGGTTTGCGCCCAACATCACGAAAAGTTGAAACTGTAGTTGTACATGACCGCAGCCTTTTTGGCCAAAGCGGTGAGCATGCTACCATTTACCTGCTCCAAGCAATGGCATGCCCATTTTGCAGCATGAACGTACCGCACGATGCCAGTGAAGCTGGGATCGCAGCGGGTGTGAAAAGAGCCTTCAAGATGGTGCACCCGGACCAGGCAGGCAGGCTGTGGCCACCGTGCGGTCCACTGCATTATGCGAGTGCGCTCAACTCAACCCAGCCGAAGTTTGTGGAGCTGGTGCAGCAAGCGCAATGCAACTGGCTGCGCTGCTGGGCCATTGACAACGGGCTGGCAGCTGTGCCATGCCCGGTGGCGGCTGCTGCCGCGAGCGCCCAACGGCAGAGAGTTCGCGAAGATTGGCCGCCGCAGCTGCCCGGCCAAGCAGCCTTGAGCCAGGTGCCGAGTAACTTTCGTCGGCCGCCTGCTGAGTATTCACGAGCCAGCGTAGGCCAGACCGAAGGTGTGGCAGCTGCTCACTTGCGGGAGGACGGGTGAGAGCCAGACCGAAGGTCAGGCAGGTGGTGCGAACTATGATCACACATACCTGGCTGAGCGTCTACGACAGCATCAGCCTGCCTGGCAGCCGACAAATGGGTATGGCTATGCTTATGATCCTTGGCATGTGCCAGAGCCGGGAGCGTGCGTGTGCGATGTGTGCCACGCAAATCCATGTGCGTGCTGGGTCAGGCCGCGGCAGGCTTGCCCGCCGTCGCCGCCTGATCTGTTTTCTTCGCCTCCGGCGTTTCCTTCGCCTCCGCCAAGCTTCCCAACTCCCGCGGCCTCTCCTTGTGCGCCGGCTGCGCCTGCTCAGCAGCATCCAACTTCGTTTTTTTTCTGCTGAGCCCCAGCCGCCAGCCTTCGAGACAAAGGCAAAAGCCCCCTGCCATGTGTGCTGCGGCAGCTCCCACCAGGCGCCGTCATGAAGTCGCCGCCCCCCAAGGCAACTTCGGCCAGACGAGCGGATGAAAGAAGCTGCGCCCAACATGATCCGCCGGTAGGCGAGTCGTCGGATTTCGTAAATGCGACGACTAAAGATTATATGATGATCAACATGACTTGTCGGGATCTGACAGAGACGACAGCATTTTATTGCACCGCGGCGGCTGTCATAGAGTTGACGAGGGATGTTTTGTTTTTGGTTGTGCGAGATGAGCAATGGCCATGTGAGCCTTTAGCGACCAAGGACGATCCTCGCTACTACCGGTACGCGGTCAGCAATGCCGCGACATGGATGTCACCAAAATTGCATCATGGGCGACGACGACTTGGTCCATCAGCAAGACATGGTCTCCCGAGGCTGGCGCCTGGGAGACAAACGCACCGGCAGCGTTTGGGCGCGAGCGGTTTGCTCGGATTGCCAAGCCGAAGGCTAGGTCAGTAGCCCAGCCGAAGGCTGGGCCACGCGGAATAGCTAGCGGAGAATCAGTCCCGCGCAGAAGTCCAAACGGAGCACCGAGCCATGAAAAGAATGAGAGTTGACGGCCCGTGTGCTGTGCTTGGGCGGTGTTGTCTTTCACACGTTGTCTTTGGCAGCGGCTCGCAGGTGTTTTGGCTTTAGTTAGTTAGTTGTTTTGCTCGAAGCAAACTGCAGCATGAGCGAACATCGCGCTTTTTTTCCAGTCAGAGAGCTAAGTACCCGGGCGGGTCCGAAGTGGACCATCAAGTGCAGAGTGACCAGCCGGTCACAGCTGCGTCAGTTCCAAAACAAGAATGGTGGTGGACAGGCTCGTGGGAGTTGTCGAGTCTTCGCATATGTTAGGTTTGCAGTAACTGGTTGAGTTTGGTGGATTTGGTCGGCCTGCAGGGAATGGTGTTCTCAGTGGAGCTGCTGGATAGAGAAGGAGGCGAGATTCGTGCAAGCTTGTTCAACAAAGCTGCGGAGCAGCACTATGATCTCATGCAGTGCGGAAGATGCTTCACGCTGTGCAACGGCAGCGTGCGCCCTGCCCAGAAGAAGTACAGCGTGCTCAAGCATGGCTACGAGCTGGTGTTCGACGGCAGATGTCAGATACACATGGTAGACGACGACGCTGACATCGGAGCAGTGCGCCTCGCCGTGCAGAAGATTGCTTCAGTGACACAGATGCCTGTGCCTAGCAGCGTGGATATCTGCGGAGTCATCGTTTCAGCGGAGCACCCTCAAGAGTTTCAGACCAAAGAAGGAAAAGCTTTAGTCAAGCGAGAGATCGCTGTGGCAGACGACATGCTGGTTACCTTGTGGGGTGACAGAGCCAGATTAGATAGTCGCGAGTTTGCCGGCAGCCCCGTGGTGGCCCTCAAAGGAGTTCAGGTCAAGGAGTGGATGAGCTGTCGAAGCGGCTCCATGGCGGAAGCAGGATCCATGATACTCAACCCAAACTTTTTGCCAGAGGCGCAGCGGGTAGGTACAAGGGAGGCAACCAGCAGAGATTGACCTACATCTCACATTCAAGCAGTTCAGAGGGGCTGATAGTGTGTGCCCCACCCAAGGATGGCCGAGCTGGCACACCACGTCCCGGCGACGTCAGGAGCTGGCATCGGGCTGGTGGGGCGCAGCCCTGGTGCCGCGCGGGCGATGCGGGGGTCGTCCACTTCGTCGAAGCCTTGTTGCGGTTGTACTCTCGGCCCTTCAGCAGGTCGTGCGCGGCCACGGTGCGGCCGTAGTAGTTGATGTCGTCGCAGCGCTGGCCGTTGGCGAAGACCTGGACGCGCTGGACGAAGCAGGCGGGGTTGGGCGTGGCCGGGGCCAGTTGGTGCCGTCCGTGTTCCTGACGCGGAAGGCGATCTTGATTGGACTCGGGGTTGTGGGGGAGAACGAGCTCAGGGAAGTACTGCACGTCATGCCGCGCCGTCACGTAGCTGGTGTTGCTCGTCTCCAGCTTGTAGTCCAGGCTCTGCATCAGCTCATCCTAGCTGTGCGTGTGCGTCACTGCGACGCAGTGCTGCCAAAAGGTCATCTACGAACAACCATGCGCGATGCGGGCGCAGTTCCAAAATGCCGTGCAGTAGCCTCAGGAGGAATGCTCCGGTGCGCTGCCACCAGTATGCGGAGAAGCGTGCTCCGAAGTGGCAAACCCTATAATGGTACAGGATATCGTCAACTCGAAACAGAAGCAGGCCATGTTCGCTGGGGTGCACTTGGATCTGCTTATGCGCTGCTTTAAAATCAAAGCTTGCCCCCACAAAAGACGAGTGCGTGTCCTCGGGGAGGAATGCTAAGCGCACGTCCGAGGCCATGGGCAGGCTTATGCGTTCGGGAATGGCGCACTTGGGGTTCACCCCACACACTGTGCTGTCTAGGACCAGTTGTGGGTCCTTGCCTTCAGCATGCACCACGTTGAGTTTCCCCACTGCTATGCCTTTGTGCCAATGCTGTCTGGCCTGTTCGATGGACATACCGGTGCGAATGACCCATCCGTTTGCAATTTCCTTTTCTAGCAAGGCGGATACCGTTTCTGGTTCCGCTTCTGCGGCTTTCCAGTTGCCGATGCACTCGGTGAGCTCACTAGGCAGGTCCGCCTGAGGCTTAGGCGGCCACTGCATGCTGCGTGGCAGTTCCGACACAGCTCCTGTCGGCACGCCTTCTGCCAGCAGCGGTACTAGTTTGAGGTCGGGGTCATTGGATGCCGTTGCTAGAGCATGCAAAAGTGACAGGCGGTACGGCTGTCCTTCATCGGGTGCTAGCTCGGATGGGCACGGCATGTTCATGGCGCGGAACGCTATCCGCGCTGCCTGGTGTTCTGAGAGAGGGCATGGGCTAGAATTTTTGGGATGAGTTCTTGTGCGTCCAGCCAATGTAGCCAGGCACGTGCGACTATCGTGAGCGGGTGGTTTGGTTGAGGGATTGAGTGGTCTGCAGTTGAATGCACGCCAGCTCCATCGCATACCCGCAAGCGCACGGGGTGCAGTGAACGCGGGGAGGGTTTGCGTAAGTGGCGGATCTCGGGTTGCGTGCTCGCTTTGAATGCGCAATGTTTGATTAAGCACGCCGCGAGACTAGCCGGGTATTCGGCTGTTAGTGTGCTCAGGTATTGGCCTGAGCTGCCTTGAACTCCCGCTACGCTGGCGTGTTTGTGCTGATGCGGGCGTCTGCTCGCCACGTGCTGGACGCATGCATCGTTGCTGGCGAAGCACCACGATTTTGAGAGCAGCATGCCATGTTGGCACGCATCCACCCATGCGAGGTGTCCGTGAAAGTTTTTTAAACACTGAAAGTTTTCCGGCTCCAACCAAGCCATGCTGGATAGTGGCTGCTCGAAGATCGCCACACCACTTTGGGAGGCTACTGCTTTAAACAGCTCTCGCCCTCTTCTGTGGATTTCGCGGCTGTCGCGAACCCGAGAGAGTTCTGCTGGTGACAAGTTGGGCGCACCCAGCATGCATGAAGGCGTGCGTAACGCCTTGGGGCCGCCTGGTCTAAGCTTGAGCCGGGAGTATTCCTTGCACGGCGGTGCCAGGGTTAACAAACTAACGCAGCCCGACCAGCATATGCGTAACAGCAACTCGAACCATGCGTCGTCCAGAATGTTGTGCTGAGGATTGGCGTCCAAGTCAAAAGCTTCGAAGCGCGCAAGGCCTTGTTGGTCTGCTGCGGCGGAAATCGGTGCATGCACTCCCGCGAAAACGTCCAGCAGGAGTCCTCCCTGGGGCTTGTGCGATGCGCCAGCGTCTGCAGGCGCTTGTTGGCATGCGGGATGGAGAACAGTGAATGCGGCCGGCGTTTTTGTGGCACCGTCCGGGGAAGCTGCCGGGGCTTCCTTTGGACTGTTTGATGTGTGGTTCGATGCGTGCTGGGATGCCGGGGTGGGCTCCAGCAGCACCTCACCCAGGGTGGCGTGACGTCGCCGGCCCCTCCGTCAAGGAACTCGTGCTTCAGCAGCAGTCCGCCTCGACCTCCGTCATGTCGCCTGCCTCCAGGGTTGCGTCCAGGATCTGGAGGCCGCAGACCTCCACCGTTCCTGCCGTCTGGTTGGGCAGGCCCGGCGCCTGGAAGTGCGCCCCAAAGTGCAGCTTTGCAATTCCGTTTGGCGGCACGGTGAAGTACATCTTGGCCGTGCTCCAGGCGCATTCTTCCAGTGTCTATATTGATATAGGCGCTAGAAGAATAGTTGTCCAAACTGCGTGAAAAATAAACAAGCATGGAGGTAGTCACCGCCGGAGCCCCCTCATGGTCATGTTTTTTGCAGCAATCTCTGCCCCGATCTCCTGGAAGAAGGTTCAATTTCAAGACAGCCTCACGTGGTGTGGGTGGCGCATTAATTTCCTGCACGAGACCATCGAACTCACGCCGGAAAAAACCATAAAATTGAAAGGGCAGCTGCACGAGCTGCTCAAAGCAGGGAAGGTCAAACGAAAACTTTTGGAGCAGGTTCTAGGCCTTCTCATTTGGGCTACCAGTCTGAGCCCCGAACTCAGGTCCTGGCTGGCACCATTGTATACAGACTTGCATTTGCCGCCGGGTTGCATGATTTCTGTCCATGCGCGTTTGTGGCCATCCTTCCTTTCAGCATTAGACG